TTTATAAATTCTGATACAGACATTAAACTTGAATTAATGAAATAATGAATTAATAAGAGATACAAAAAAAGAAACAAGATAATTTTAAGTCTATTTGCATACTACACTGCTATTATTTACGATTTACATCTCTATTTCGATCATATCACGTGTTTAGTCAACTGGAATGGACATCTTAAAGTCTTTAGAAATTTCAGGTTATTGTGGTTTTGTTATAAAAGTGGTAATAGATATTGTGGAAAAAAAACAAGCAAATTTGCATTTTCTTTTCTTTTTAACAGATGACGGAGATGGGGAAGATGGAGCTGATGGTGAAGATGACGTTGGTGATGGAGATGAAGATGGTGATGACGAGGGTGATGATGATGGTGATGATGATGATGGTGACGATGGTGGTGACGATGGTGGTGATGACGATGGTGGTGATGATGGTGACGACGGTGGTGTTGATGGTGGTGATAATGGTGACGACGATGGTGATGATGGTGATGTGGGTGATGGCAAAGGTAATATTAGGGATGTCTCTTTGGATAGTGGAGTAGGAAGCAATGATGGTGATCAATTATTCATAGTGATGAGGCAGATACAGGGAAAGTGAAGGGTCTCATACATAAAGAACTTCCAAAAATGTTTTTAAAAATCGAATCCACACATATAATTATGATGATTTAAAACACTTAATCGGATTTTACGTAAGGCATAGAGCATACATGAATCAGATACAAAACTGTTTAATTGCTCAAAAGAAGAGGTCATCGAATCTTAAATAACAGACTACCAGTCCAGTCGTTTAGATGTATCAAATTGCATTTTTTTTTCTTCAGAATGCAACCAGTGGAGGCGCTGTAAAAAGGCAGGAGGAGAGTGCCTGAGGACTTGTCGTGAGGGAGACACTCTGCTTGAAGGGAGATGCATGAAGGGCTGCTCCTGCTGCGTTCCTGAAGGTGGGTCTCTTCCTCCTTCAGAGTTATGGGTGTTTTGAAAAGGATATTTTTTTCATTTATGTATTCATATCTTTTTTCCAGCTCCACTAATCAAACATACACATTACAAATCTTTCAACGCCATTATATGCCACTTTCACTCCATGGCGACTTCATCGTTACTGCCCTTTGTCGCGATCGACTACGAAAAGTCTGCGGGCTTCCATGAAACCACGTGCCTAAAATAAATAAATAAATAAATAAAAAATATGTATAGTGACCGATGATGTTTGACAAAAGTGTCAGGTCTGCAGGCAGCTTTACGAGCGAGTCAAGATTCAAGATATCGCTACTAATTTCGACGTGAGAGAGTGTGAAATAGGTAAGAATCTATTTACACCACAACAGTGCATCGAGGCTGAACAAGTGCAAAGAAAGAACATTCGAAAAGACGAACTTACACGACGCAGCCGCCTACCTCGACCCTATTTTTTGTATCGATCAAGTGTCGGTTTATGTGTGAGTAAAGCAAGTATACCTACGGCACTGTATCACCAGACATCTATGGAAAGAGACTGCCTAACACTGCTCTCTTGTATCACTTCTTTTATTTTGTTTCTTTACTTTTTTATTCCGCTGCACCTACTGTATATTTCACCACTATAGGAACACATATTCGCAGAAATGATAAAAGGAAATGAATATTGATTAACGCGTCATCTTTTTTTCTTTGATAGTGATACATGCATAGACTATTTTTTTTTTAAATACTGTTGAAAAAAGATGCTTAGGAGTCATTCAGAAAATAATACGATATGATGGTGATGAGAAAAATAAAAGTAAAATACTATTGAATGATACTGACCATTTATAATCAACGTTTCAACATTTATTTGTTATATTGTTTGCAAATTTCAGATTCTTTTTTTCGGAATTAAAATAAAAATAAGATACTCTGTGCAAAATCTTCACTTTATTTGTATATCTTTAACAGGTGGTGATAGTGACGATGGTGGTGATGGTGACGATGACGCCGATGAAGATGGTGAAGATGATGGTGAGGGTGATGATGGTGATGATGAAGATGTTGATGTTGGAGATGGAACTGGTGTTGGAGATGGAAGTGGTGTTGGAAATGGTGAATGGATGGATGAACTGGTGTTGGAAATGGAACTGGTGTTGGAGATGGAACTGGTGTTGGAGATGGAACTGGTGTTGGAAATGGAACTGGTGTTGGAGATGGAACTGGTGTTGGAGATGGAACTGGTGTTGGAAATGGAACTGGTGTTGGAGATGGAACTGTCGTTGGAAATGGAACTGGTGTTGGAGATGGAACTGGTGTTGGAGATGGAACTGGAGTTGGAACTGGTGGAGATGGAACTGTGTTGGAGATGGAACTGGTGTTGGAGATGGAACTGGTGTTGGACTGGTGCTGGTGGAGATGGAACTGGTGTAGGAATGGAACTGGTGTTGGAACTGGTGTTGGAGATGGAACTGGTGGGAGATGGAACTGGTGTTGGAGATGGTGGTGGAGATGGAACTGATGGAACTGGTGTTGGAGATGGAACTGGTGTTGGAGATGGAACTGGTGTTGGAGATGAAACTGGTGTTGGAGATGGAACTGAGATGGAACTGGTGTTGGAGATGAACTGGTTTGGAGATGGAACTGGTGGGAGATGGAACTGTGTGGAGATGGAACTGGTGGAGATGAACTGAGGAGATGGAACTGGTGTAGGAGATGGAACTGGTGTTGGAGATTGGAACTGGTGTTGGAGATGGAACTGGAGATGGAACTGGTGTTGGAAATGGAACTGGTGTTGGAGATGGAACTGGTGTTGGAGGATGGATGGAACTGGTGTTGGAGATGGAACTGGTTTGGTTGGAGATGGAACTGGTGTTGGAGATGGAACTGGTGTGGAGATGGAACTGGTGTTGGAGATGGAACTGGTGTTGGAGATGAACTGCTGGTGAGGATGGAACTGGAGGAGATGGAACTGGTGTGGAGATGGAACTGGTGTAGGGAGATGGAACTGAGGAGATGGAACTGGAGGAGATGGAACTGGTGTAGGAGATGGAACTGGTGGACTGGAGATGGAACTGGTGTTGGAGATGGAACTGGTGGAGATGGAACTGGTGTTGTGGTGTAGGAGATGGAACTGGTGGTAGGAGATGGAACTGGTGTTGGAGATGGAACTGGTGGAGATGGAACTGGCGTTGGAGATGGAGATGGAACTGGTGTGTGGAGATGGAACTGGGTTGGAGATGGAACTGGTGTTGGAGATGGAACTGGTGTGGAGATGGAACTGGCGTTGGAGATGGAACTGGTGTCTGACTGGTGTTGGAGATGAACTGGTGTTGGAGATGGAACTGGTGTTGGAGATGGAACTGGTGTTGGAGATGGAACTGGTGTGGAGATGGAACTGGTGTTGTGGCTGGTTGGAGATGGAACTGGTGTGGAGATGGAACTGGTTGGAGATGGAACTGGCTTGGTGGATGGAGGAACTGGTGTGGATGGAACTGGTGTAGGAGATGGAACTGGTGTAGGAGATGGAACTGGTTGTGGTGTGGAGATGGAACTGGCTGGTGTTGGAGATGGAACTGGGTAGGAGATGGAACTGGTGTTGGAGATTGGATGGGTTGGAGATGGAACTGGTTGGAGATGGAACTGGTGTTGGAGATGGAACTGGTGTTGGAGATGGAACTGGTGTTGGAGATGTGGTGTTGGAGATGGAACTGGTGTTGGAGATGGAACTGGTGTGGAGATGGAACTGGTGTTGGAGATGGAACTGGTGTTGGAGATGGAACTGTGTTGGAGATGGAACTGGTGTTGGAGATGGAACTGGTGGGAGATGGAACTGGTGTTGGAGATGGAACTGGTGTAGGAGATGGAAATTGGAGATGGAACTGGTGTTGGAGATGGAACTGGTGTTGGAGATGGAACTGGTTGGAGATGGAACTGGTGTTGGAGATGGAAACTGGTGTTGGAGATGGAACTGGTGTTGGAGATGGAACTGGTGTTGGAGATGGAACTGTTGAGATGGAACTGTGTTGGAGATGGAACTGGTGTGGAGATGGAACTGGTGTTGGAGATGGAACTGGTGAGATGGAACTGGTGGAACTGGTGTTGGAGATGGAACTGGTGTTGGAGATGGAACTGGCTGGTGGAGATGGAACTGGTGTTGGAGATGTGGTGTTGGAGATGGAACTGGCGTTGGAGATGGAACTGGCGTTGGAGATGGAACTGGTGTTGGAGATGGAACTGGCTGGAGATGGAACTGGCGTTGGAGATGGAACTGGTGTTGGAGATGGAACTGGTGTTGGAGATGGAACTGGCGTTGGAGATGGAACTGGTGTTGGAGATGGAACTGGCGTTGGAGATGGAACTGGCGTTGGAGATGGAACTGGCGTTGGAGATGGAACTGGTGTTGGAGATGGAACTGGTGTAGGAGATGTGGTTGGAGATGGAACTGGTGTTGGATGGAACTGAGATGGAACTGGTGTTGGAGATGGAACTGGTGTTGGAGATGGAACTGGTGTTGGAGATGGAACTGGTGCTGGTGTTGGAGATGGAACTGGTGTTGGATGGAACTGTGTTGGAGAGGAACTGGTGTGGAGATGGAACTGGTGTTGGGAGATGGAACTGGTGTTGGAGATGGAACTGGTGGACTGGAGATGGAACTGGTGTTGGAGATGGAACTGGTGTTGGAGATGGAACTGAGATGGAACTGGACTGTGGAGATGGAACTGGTTGGAGATGGAACTGGTGTGGAGATGGAACTGGTGTTGGAGATGGAACTGGTGTGGAGATGGAACTGGTGTAGGAGATGGAACTGGTGTTGGAACTGGTGTTGGAGATGGAACTGGTGTAGGAGATGGAACTGTTGGAGATGGAACTGGCGTTGGAGATGGAACTGGTGACTGTTGGAACTGGTGTTGGAGATGGAACTGGTGTTGGAGATGGAACTGGTGTAGGAGATGGAACTGGTGTAGGAGATGGAACTGGCGTTGGAGATGGAACTGGTGTTGGAGATGGAACTGGTGTAGGAGATGGAACTGGTGTTGGAGATGGAACTGGTGTTGGAGATGGAACTGGTGGACTGGACTGGAGATGGAACTGGTGTTGGAACTGGTGTTGGGTGTAGGAGATGGAACTGGTCTGGAGATGGAAACTGGTGTGGAGATGGAACTGGCGTTGGAGATGAACTGGTGTGGAGATGGAACTGCTGGTGTTGGAGATGGAACTGGGGAGATGGAACTGGTGTTGGAGATGGAACTGGTGTTGGAACTGGTGTTGGAGATGGAACTGGTGTTGGAGATGGAACTGGTGTAGGAGATGGAACTGGTGTTGGAGATGGAACTGGTGTCGGAGATGGAACTGGCGTTGGAGATGGAAGGTTGGATGGAACTGGTGTTGGAGATGGAACTGGTGTTGGAGATGGAACTGGAGACTGGCGTTGGAGATGGAACTGGTTGGAGATGCTGGTTGGAGATGGAACTGGTGTTGGAGATGGAACTGGTGTAGGAGATGGAACTGGTGTTGGAGATGGAACTGGTGTTGGAGATGGAACTGGTGTTGTGAGATGGAACTGGTGTTGGAGATGGAACTGGTGTTGGAGATGGAACTGGTGTTGGAGATGGAACTGGAGATGGAACTGGTGTTGGAGATGGAACTGGTGTTGGAGATGGAACTGGTGTGGAACTGGTGTGGAGATGGAACTGGTGTTGGAGATGGAAACTGGTGTAGGAGATGGAACTGGTGTTGGAGATGGAACTTGGTGTGGAGATGGAACTGGTGTTGGAGATGGAACTGGTGTAGGAGATGGAACTGGTGTTGGAGATGGAACCTGGTGTTGGAGATGGAACTGGCGTTGGAGATGGAACTGGTGTTGGAGATGGAACTGGTGTTGGAGATGGAACTGGTGTTGGAGATGGAACTGGTGTTGGAGATGGAACTGGTGTTGGAGATGGAGACTGGTGTGGAGATGGAACTGGCTGGTGTTGGAGATGGAACTGGTGTTGGAGATGGAACTGGCGTTGGAGATGGAACTGGTGTTGGAGATGGAACTGGTGTTGGAGATGGAACTGGCGTTGGAGATGGAACTGGTAGGAGATGGAACTGGTGTAGGAGATGGAACTGGTGAGATGGAAACTGGTGTGGAGATGGAACTGGTGTGGAGATGGAACTGGTGTCGGAGATGGAACTTGGAATGGAACTGGCGTTGGAGATGGAACTGGTGGAGATGGAACTGGCGTTGGGAGATGGAACTGGTGTTGGAGATGGAACTGGGTGGAGATGGAACTGGCGTGGAGATGGAACTGGCGTTGGAGATGGAACTGGCGTTGGAGATGGAACTGGTTGGAGATGGGAACTGGTGTTGGAGATGGAACTGGTGTTGGAGATGGAAACTGGAAGATGAACTGGCTGGTGTTGGAGATGAACTGGTTGGAGATGGAACTCGTTGGAGAATGGAACTGGTTGGAGATGGAACTGGTTGGAGATGGAACTGGTGTTGGAGATGGAACTGGTGTTGGAGATGGAACTGGCTGGCGTTGGAGATGGAACTTGTTGAAGATGGAACTGGTGTTGGAGATGGAACTGGTGTTGGAGATGGAACTGGTGGAGATGGAACTGTTGGAGAT